AAAAGTTTGAATAATGGTTGATAAAACATCATGAGGTTTTGTATGATGCACTAGCATAGTTTTTTAACTATTAACATTTTCGAGTATACACATTTTTTATAATATATAACTATTCGTTTTAATATTTATACAATATTTAAACAAAATTATTTCTTATCAAAATAATAATTCCCAAATAGCTACAAGTATAATTTACTATATAAACACATTTATTTATGTGTCCCTGTGGTGTAGTGGTAAGCGCGTAGGATTTAGTATCTAATAGACCGAGCTTCGATTCCTGCCTAAGGCAACGTTTTTTAGTTTTCAAAAAACACGTTGGATTTACATCGGAATGCCGACGTCGCGCGATGTCAGTTTATCCGACGTCAAATAACATTTCCATTTCCAACGTAAACCCAACGTCGATCCGACGTCGAGATCCGACGTCGCTCGACGTTCTTTCGACGTCGAAATGCCCACTGGGTTCTTAGTACCGATGGATAATTGCATTCACTCGGATGATTTATCTAAAGAGTTATTATATGATGAGTTCGAAAAAACCTTCAAAACACTAAAAAAAAAATAAAGCAGTTGGACCGGATGAAATCAATGGTAACATAATTTTAGATTGCTTTGAACAAATAAAATATATTCTTTTTAAAGACTTTAAATCATCAATAGAACAACCCAGTGGGCATTTCGACGTCGAACGAACGTCAAGCGACGTCGGATCTCGACGTCGGATCGACATCGAGATCCGACGTCGAGATCGTCATAATATTAACGGAGTACGTTAATATTATGACGTTGCCCGACGTCTTTTTATCGACGTTGGATCGATGTCAACACTGCGACGTTTTTTGGACGTCTTTTATAAGATGTCGGAACAACATCAAAATACATCAAAATGACGTCAGGGGATGTTGAGATAAAGACATCGCCCGACGTCATTTTACTGACATCGGAACAATGTCGGAATAGGTCTTTTGACATCGCTGATGAAAATCGTACGTAAATCCGACGTCGGATTGACGTCGGGTGCCCACTGGGAAGGAGTCTTCCCTGATCAATTGAAAATTGCTAAAGTCATTCCACGTTTCTAGGGTGGTGACAAATCTGATATAAGTAATTACCGGCCTATTTCTATCTTATCTATATTTTCAAAAATACTAGAAAGAATCATGTTCAATAGAGTATTTAATTATTTTAGTTTAAATAATTTATTACACAATAATCAGTTTGGTTTTAAAAAGAATAACTCAACTGAGCATGCAATTATTCAGTTGGTGCGTGAAATTTCCAATTCTTTTGAAAAATCTCAATTTACATCAGGAATTTTTATCGATCTTTCAAAAGCATTTGATACTGTCGATCATGATATTTTGCTTTATAAACTTAGTTATTATGGAATAAATGAAAGAGTAATTAAATGGTTTCAAAGTTATTTATCGAACAGAAAACAATTTGTTTCTTGTAATTTCCATCTTAGGTTCCATCTTAGGCTCTCTTTTGTTTCTAATATATATCAACGACTTGCATAAAGCATCAAATCTTCTAAGTATTATGTTTGCTGATGACACAAACTTATTTCTCTCTAACAATGACATCTATCTACTTTTCTCCATGATGAACAAAGAACTTCAAAACATATCTAAATGCTTTAAAAGTAATAAATTGACATTAAATATAACCAAAACAAAATGGATTTTTTTACACCCACTCCCCAAAAAACGTTTTCTACCTCCAAATCTACCAAAAATTCTTATTGACGATATTGAAATTAAAAGAGAATAAATAACTAAATACCTGGAGGTTTTCATTGACGAGAACATCACATGGAAACATCATACTAACTATGTTTGATCGAAAGTTTCAAAAAGTATCGGAATTTTATACAAGACGCGTACTCATTTAGATAAAAATAATTTAACTAAACTTTATAACTCTTTTATCCACAGTTATATAAGTTATGGAGTTATTGCCTGGGATAGCACTGATCAAAGCAAGTTACAATGTCTCTATCGCTGTCAGAAACATGCAATCCGTTTAATTAGTTCTGCGGATCGGTTCGCACATTCCTCAATATTTTTTAATCAAATAAAAATCCTAGATATATATAAACTTAACGTATATAAAAATGTATCTTTTGCCTATATGTGGAAGCATGATTTATCTCCTTCAATTTTTAAAGATCTTTTCATTTTGAAACCATTAAACAAGTTTAACATGAGGAATAATAACTATTTAAAGGAACCATTCTGTCGAACAAAATTTGATCAAGTTTGTATCCCATATCGAGCAGCTCATCTCTGGAACAAAATTATTTTGCCTAACTTCGACTTACCCCTAACTTATCCTGTTTTTAAAAATAGATTAAAAGACCGCATTCTTTCGGTCGAAAATGGTAAAGTGCCCTTGTATCTTACTCAACTGCTTTCCAACAATATTTTATTGCGCATTGTGTTATCATTCTAATTCCGTTCATTAGATGCTTTGTCATGTGATGTGTAGTTATTGAGATATTTTAATTGCTCAACTTACTCCTATACTTAACTAGCAACGCTCTACCCTACTTAAATTAAAATTGGCGTACATTTTGATTGTGAGCTTGAAGTCTTTGCAGAAGTTTAGTTCAAAAGGTTACTTCGCAGTTAGCGAAGTAACCTTTGATCTGGTCCACTGACTCAGACAGTTTTGCTAATTAGTTTGTTCTTAATAAATGCGACTTGACAAGACACTTTCAGCAAAAATATTTGATTGGAAGGATAATTTTGACAAAAACATTTGATTGGAAGGATAATTTCGACAAAAACATTTGATTGGAAGGATAATTTCGACAAAAACATTTGATTGGAAGGATAATTTCGACAAAAAACAATTAAATCAAGAAAAGCTGCATCTACAGAATCTTTATAACTAAGAATAGCAGCCAAAAATAAGATTGAGTTTTTGTGAGGTAGAAGAAGATTCAAATAATTCATTTTTGGATCAATTAATGCGAATAATCTTTTGGTTCTTCAATTTTCTGCGCGTTTTTCTTACCAAAGTTGACAGTTGGCCTAATGAAACTTTTAATTTTTCATTACAAACTCTCTGAGGAGCAGAGAAAGACAGAAAACATCGCTTTGTTTTACTGCAGTTTTGTTTCTGGCTTTTTCAGTGCTTTGTTAAAAAACTTAAGACATTGTAATTGAACACTTTCAATTGATATTTTTTAATTGGTATTTTAGCCGTGCAATTTGATCTAGAGGATGCTTGGTGGTGTAACTTTGACAATCAAAAAGTAGTAAGAGACAATGGGAAGTTGAATCAAATATTTGCTGGTGATAACTATTTTAACAAATATTTAGCCTGATAATCAATATTTAGCCTGATAACAAATATTTAGCCTGATTCTTGGCTTACTTCTGTATTTATGTTATTTAACTTCCGCTACATAATTTAGCAAAACTATTAAAACTAAAATTATGTGACCATAAAAACTGTGGTCGACTGTGGTCATCACACATGACGAATCATAAATCACTTTTAAAAATTGCCTTGGTTGGTTAAAATTTGGACAATTTTTAATTTAATTTTTTTAAAAACTACTTGATCAACTTTAATTTCTTTTTTTTATGGCTGGCTATTGGTTGTGGCTTTTATTGGCTGGCTATTGGTTGTGGCTTTTCTTAAAAAGTGAAGTTATAAATGCTTTGTATTTTTTGAATTGAGTTTATGTGGTATATATATATATATATATATATATATATATATATATATATATATATATATATATATATATATATATATATATATATATATATATATATATATATATATATATTTTAATATATTTCGTATTTTTGCGTATCTTTCTTTAGTTTGTTTTCATAAAGTTTGGATTTTAAGTTAATAAAGTTGAATTTACTTAACTTATTTAGCAAAGAAAATTCATTTAAAATAAAAAAATTTAAAAAAAACTTTTCCTAGTATAAATTATTAAAAAAGGTTAAAAAAAACAATTTGTTTACTTTGACTCGTCATCAAATATTCTTTACCATAAAAAATCTGACAATTTCTATTTTGACTGAATCATTGTAACTTAGAATAACCAAAAGTCTTTGATATTTTATGCATTTTTCAACGTTTATTGCACGTTCAAGTTGTGTAAAGTTAAAAATCCCATTATGTGACATTTGTTTTAAAATATTTTTATAATGTACTTACATTAGTCGTTTAACGTACTTGTTAGATATTCTAAGTACTATAAAAATTTTACAAGAAAATAAATGGAGTTTTGCTTCACTCTAAAAAAAGGTAGAAATCTCTACCTCAAGGTAGAATATCTAATAAACTCGTAGTAACGTTATTTTCTGGGCGCGCATCGTCAGGGGGACGACGCACACTCACTGGGCAAGTGTTAAAAGACTATGCCTTACATGCCATACTCTAGCTTAAAGTAGAAATTTCTACTTTCTTTTAGAGTGTTGGGTAACTTATTAAAATATTTATTTAAAATGAAAAAAAAGCTTTTCTAGTATAGATATATTTATTTATGGTTTCTGTCTTGACGTGTTTATTAATAATTAGACTTTAGGTAAAAAGTGAAGAAAAAAAATCTTTTTTTTATGAAAAAAATTTTCAATTAACAAAAAATGACGTCGAAATTGAGATACCTAAATTTATTTTTAAATTTTTTATTAAAATATTTAAAATAAACGTTTATCACTTAAAACTCTTTATATATATATATATATATATATATATATATATATATATATATATATATATATATATATATATATATATATATATATATATATATATATATATATATATATATATATATTTTCCTATTACATTTTGCAAAATAGTTTTTTATCTAGTATATAAATTTTTAATTTAACCCAAAAAAAAAGAAAAAGATAAACAGAATTGCAGACTATACAAATATTTTAATAGAATATAAAATAAAAAGTAATAAAAAATACTCAAAACTAAAATAAAAAAAATGTCTTTTAAAAAAAAGTTCATACTGTTTACAATTGAATACATAGAGGTAAATGCGATAAACACTAAAATCTTCATCCTGAAAGAATATCATAAAAACAAGTTCAAAAATAGTAATTAAAATTATTACATTTAGAATGCTAAATTTAAGTTTTTATAAAATCTTCTAATGTTTTTTTTTTTTTTTTTACAACGATCATTATTATATATTTCAAAAAAGTAACATTTACATGTCTCCAGTTTATTTAATTTACGAACACCAATAATTAGCGGTATTAGGAAAATTTAGACTACTTCTCACATTACTATCAATATATATATATATATATATATATATATATATATATATATATATATATATATATATATATATATATATATATATATATATATATATATATATATATATATATTTATATATATATATATATATATATATATATATATATATATATATATATATATATATATATATATATATAACGCGAGGTCATCTTCACATTTTTGAGTTTTGAGATAATATGATATAAAAAATAAAAACTTTAGGAGACGACATAGAAAAAGATTTTTATTACTTATGTTTTTTTCGAAACTTTTTTGATTTTAACTTAGGTTTTAATATAGTAGAAAAAAAATATTTGAGGTACATGACACAATCAATAACTCGATTTTTTCAAAAAGTGGAGATAAAACAAAATAATTCTAACCTTGCGATATATATATATAAACAAATATAAAAGCATTAAAATGGCTTGACAAATAACAAAAAAGACAAAAAAAATAAAAACATTTATCCTTAAGAAACAAATAAGATCTAATGGTTTTTTCTTTTTAGCTTTGTATGTAAATTATTAAAATTCATTTTATCTTTAAAATAAAGTTAAAAATAGGAAAGAGTAAAAGATTCAGAAGCATGTATTATTAACATTGAATCGATATAAAATAGCAAATACTGACTGAAATACTAGCAATTAATTTCAAAAGTTTTTAAAAATTTCTATAGAACGAATAGTTTGTATTCTGCTGGTACATACCACTGTTGGAGAAAAGGGGAGGGGTAACAAGAGCATTTGTCAAAAATTTTACTTATAATTATAAAAACCAAAAATGTTAAAATACTTTATTTTTAACTTACAGCGAAAATGCTTTTTTCAAAGGTAGTTGTTAGTTTGTTCTAAGAAATCTTATCTTAAAAAAAAATCTAATGAGCATATTTATTTAATTCATGTTATTTTTTTTTTAGAAAAAAGGTGAACGGAATTTTAAATAATACACTTTTGTACAAATCAATATAATGTTTCCTATATATACTAGCGTTACAACAAATTTCAAATGCAATAAATAATTTATAATTTTAGTATATGGGTCAACTATATAAAAAGGTTTTTTTTAATTAGAATAAAATTAATAATTGCTTTTTTTTATTTAATTTACTTTATGTTTGTTTGCAACTTTACAGAACTCAGATTAAAGGGTTCAAATATTCTCTTTCAGGATATAAAGGATATTTTTTAATATAGCTGTTAAATAGAATACCTCGTACATTGTGTTAAATAGAAAATAGCAATAAAATAACAATTAATAAAAGTAACAGATTTTTAATCAGGGTTATAAAAAATTTTCATTTAAATATTGTCAATGACAAAAAAGTTTTTTTTGCGTAATTCGTATTGGTTTAAAAATAGTAGAAATTATATTAAACTCAAGTAATGAATAAAAAAAAAATTCTATGTTGGAGAACTTTTTGTATTTTAAAGCATCCATGTTTATATCACCTGCAAAAAAATTTGTTTATCATGTTTACTTGTAATGTTTTCCTTACTCGGCATTTCATGCGACCGTGGCGCAGTGGTTAAAGCGCTTGCTTAATAAGCAGAAAATCGAGGTTCAAGCTTTGGACATATTTCGCGTCGCGTTAAGGAAGGAGGCGTTAACCTGGTTAAATGCACTTCCGCGGTGTTCTGTGACAAGACCGTAAGGACGTCTTGGGGCACCTAAATAACAAATAAAAAAACTTTTTTTTTTAAATTACGCATGGAAACTCAAATGGGTAATTCCACGTAAAAGTTGGACAGTAATTTCAGTCACCCTTGGATTTACTTTAAATTTTAACAAGTGGTATGATTAATGAAACGTGAAAAGTTGCAAAATTTAAGTTACCAAATCCAAACGGTTCAAAAGTTATGACGTTTTGAAATTCAGCCTAAAATGTTCCTTTTTTTACCAAATCCGCCATTATGGATTTTGAAGTATTACTTTTAATGATTAAATTAAGATCTAGTTGAAGAAAATGGCTAAAAATTGGTACCTGACCATTTTTAAAGGCGCTAAATTCAAAAATATTGAAATTTAAATTTTTTGATTGTTATTTTCTGATTTTAAAATGGTCAGTCAAATATTTTAAAATGGTCTTTTGTTCTGTTACCATGGGTTGCACTTTCATTAACTCCTGGAGTTGCCCAAGTCTTATAGATTCAATTTATTTTTCAAATGAAGTATTAGATCTTAGGCTATCATTATAAAAAAGATGGTTTTGGTTTTTAAAGCATAATCAAGATATTTCATATTGAAATTTAGACAAAAAAAATCCTTTTTTTAACCTCCGTTCTCCATTATAGAATTTATAGCGATATTTTTTGTGTGAATAATTTAAGTTCTGCAGAATGAAAATAACTGAAAATTGATACCTGACCATTTTTTGAGTTTTTATGGGCATTTTTGAACAATCGGAACAAATAGCTTACAAATCATTAACTATATAATAACGTCATTACAAGTAATTGAAGGTTTTTATCGATACCGATTGTGCGCAATTTTATTACCATTATTTTGGTTAATTGGTGGTATTTTAAAAACACACAAATTCGTGATGAAATTAAAAAAACGTGATTTTTAAACACAATTGCTTTGAGGCCCAATACATAGCAGTTAAAAATATGTTACATGCTTTTTATCTCATACAGTTCACTCACTTCAAGCCCTGGTTAATTAAAAAGGGTTTGTACAAGTTTAGCTAAGTTTCCTGGCCGACCATTATTCTTGTTAACCTGCTGCCATCATATCGGAGAGCTTCATATAACCGTAACCGTAAATTAGACTGTTAAACTAGGGAATAAACTATTGATATCATAAAACCATAAAAAGGTAAAGATAAAACTGCTTCACTTTAAAATATCTTTTTGTAAAAACAAAACGTATAAGTTTCTATTTTGACATATAGACTTTTGAGATGAGCAGAGATTATTGTGAACTTGCAAAAAAATATCAGACCATTAGGTGAAAATTAAAAAAAAATGGAGCTGTTTCACACGACTTGAATTTCATGAAATTCAAGTTGCATTTCTCTAAAATCAAGTTTTTATTCTGAATAATAAAATACTCAAAAAGATCAAGAGAATCAAATCAGCATTTTGAGCATATCTATGTTTTAGCTAAACTTAGATTTCCTCAAAATGCTGATTGGACTCGTGACTCAATCCGATTTGCGAATCAATACCTGCTTCGAATAATGATTCAATTCGAAACTAAAAAAGGTGATTGGCAAGACCCTTTTTTAAACCTTATTTTATCTACATTGAATTGTTTATTATTTACACTTTTAAGATCACCTAGGCTATTGGCAGATATATATTGAGCCTGCTGCAGAAGTGAAATTCAAATCATGGTAAAACCACAGAGGTGTTTGGTGCTGGCATAAGCATCTTTTGACCGAGATTACAATATAAAAATGGTAAAAAGATCTGTATTCAAAAACAAAGGGAGATCCGAAAAGATGTAAAAACGGATAGAATTAAAGCTGAAATCCTTTTGAAAGCAGTTTTTATTGATAAAGACCAGTCACTAGGTCTTGAGTTGTATATTTCACCAGACTACTGGTTAATTTTTAATGTTCTAAGTCTTAGTTTAAAAAAATGCAATTTTGCTGTGCTTATAGTAAAATTTATTCAAGATAATGTAGACCATGTAATAAGCTTGGAAAAGATTCAAATAAAGAGTTCTTGTAAAAAAAAAATTAAAAAAAAGAAAAAGAGTGAATTCAAGGAACTAGTTATGCGACTGCTTCCTCGCTTTTTAGTTATTGAATGGTTCTGATAATTTGAATTGTGATCCGATATCTAACTGCAAACTCTGAACCTTATTTTTTTACATATTTTCTTCAGATATTTGTCTTATGCTAAAAATTTATGTGTATAAATATTCATCGCACATTTGCAGCGTTTAAACGCTGAATTCTGAAACAAACTTGCTTCACAGTCAAGAGATCTATGGCAGTAACGGATCCAGCATTTTTTAGTGTTTAAGATATCAATTGAAATATTTGTATGTTTGTATTTAATAATATAATAAAATACTGTATGTTTATATGATAAATAACGGTGCTTTTTAAAAAGTTGCAATGATTCGAGGCTGGGAACAAAAAAAGCCCTAAAATTTTATCCTCCTTCCCCAAACGTGAAAGTAACAAATTGAGGAAATAATTTTTTTGCTATTCTTAACTAAATTTATATTCATGAATAATTTTAAAGTATTCTTTTACAATCTTTAAACGTTCAAAAATTATGACTATTTAAAATTTGTTACCCCCTCAAATTGAGGGGGCTTTAAACTTTACATAGTTATAATTTGAACTCTAAGAGATATTACCTTGAAACTTAAAATTTATCAATGAATGTAAACAAAGTTGAGAATTTATAAAAATTATTTTAGTAACTTGTTGCTCTCACTTTTGGGGCATGAGGGGGGATGAAATTTTAGGGCTTTTTTTAGTTTCCAGCGTCCAATCATCACAATATTTTACAAAGCATCATTATTTGACATAAGTATAAACATACAAATGTTTTGAGTTTGCGTCATGTCTGTTTATCTCAAAAACCAAATAATGCTAGATCCTTCACTTATCTCCCAGTGGGCACGGACGTAAAGAAGACGACTTTTAAACGTCTTATACACGTTTTGGACGTCTTTTGAACGTTTCGGACGTCTTTTGAACGTTCAAAAGACGTCTTTTTTTGGTCCGGTGCCCACTGGGCTGTCGTTCGATGCCTACTCTGGGTATTTTCTTCACATGAAGGAAGCGTAAACTTCCAAGTTAA